GACAAATGTTGAAAGATCACCAAGTATGTAGTTAGTGAAGCATCGTTCATTTACGCTGCTGCAGCCTCGTGCGTAACTAATATTATTGATAACATTTACGCTGCTGCAGCCTCGTGCGTAACTAATATTATTGATAACATTTACGCTGCTGCAGCCTCGTGCGTAACTAATATTATTGATAACATTTACGCTGCTGCAGCCTCGTGCGTAACTAATATTATTGATAACATTTACGCTGCGGCAGCCTCGTGCGTAACTAATATTATTGATAACATTTACGCTGCTGCAGCCTCGTGCGTAACTAATATTATTGATAACATTTACGCTGCTGCAGCCCCGTGCGTAACTAATATTATTGATAACATTTACGCTGCTGCAGCCCCGTGCGTAACTAATATTATTGATAACATTTACGCTGCGGCAGCCTCATGCGTAACTAATATTATTGATAACATTTACGCTGCGGCAGCCTCGTGCGTAACTAATATTATTGATAACATTTACGCTGCTACAGCCCCGTGCGTAACTAATATTATTGATAACATTTACGCTGCTGCAGCCCCGTGCGTAACTAATATTATTGATAACATTTACGCTGCGGCAGCCTCATGCGTAACTAATATTATTGATAACATTTACGCTGCTGCAGCCCCGTGCGTAACTAATATTATTGATAACATTTACGCTGCTGCAGCCTATATATATATATATATATATATATATATATATATATATATATATATATATATATATATCTGGTGGTGGCAGTATGATACTTACAAGAGACTAGATTCCTGCCTTGGTCAGCCCTAAGAGTCGCTGTAGCCGACCTCTGGTGAGGTGGCGCCTAGAAATCAGCGCCATCTATTGTGATACAACTTGTATGTCATTGCCAGAGTCCATAAGTGGTATTTCCTAGTTTCACAAGTACCGGCCAGTTTACTGATAACGTGTCTGTATCCACAGAGGCGACGTAGGGCTGCAGTGGTACAGAGACAAGCAATCAACACAGGGCAGCCTGTTATCTCTCTACTCAATTCTGCTTTACATGAGCAGTGAGCCGCTGCCGAAGAGGAACTGAGTAGTGTCTACTGTCTGCCTGTGAAGTGGCAGTGAAAGAATTCGGTGTATCTCAGGACTGGCTAGAGGAAGAGACGACCGACAGTGAGGTGCTACGGAGGAGTGGAACTAGCTAGTTGCAAGAAGCTCCTGCCAGGGGTTCGCTACCCCTGTATTTATTCGTGTAGAGGCCCAGCAGCGCGAGGCTGATGTTCTCTGCCAGCACCAGGCTGGAGAGTGAGTGTGGGCGTTCACAAGGAGCACCAAGTGAGACTGTAGATAGACTGGCCCATGGCTAGGGTAGACTCGTTGGTGTTTCCCAGTACTGGTTGAGGACGGTACTGTGTGTTGAGGAAACACGGAAGTTGACAAAGCTGCATTACACGAGCATCGAGGAGCGCTTAGTGTCCTATGAGAGAGCGACACATGTGTATATATCAGTGTAGTAATACTTCGTTTATGATTTTACATTTTCTATTTAAGGTGATGGGAAAGTGGTGATAAGTGGAGTGAATATATTGATAAAGGATGAAGTGTTGTATTCCTTTAAACCCCCCCCCCCCCTTTTTTATTACTTGCATTACCAAGCCCACTCCTTGAAAGCCACTACCAACTTGGGGTCGGATACTATCATTCTGGTTCCACCATCAAAGAACCCGGTTGCGACTAATAGTGGCCGTAAGACCATCTTGTTCTGTAATGATATTGAAGTGAATACTTGTTATATTGAGAACGTGAATATATTTTTGAATTATTTGATATTATACATGTTTTATATGTGCATGTTTATTTATCCTGATCTTTTTTATTATACTTGTTTGCCCTACATAGGTCCACTCTGGTGTATTACTTTTAAAGATAGTGAAATTACCATAGACTATTTTATATTGCTGTCCATTTATACACAAGCTGTGCGAACTAGCTAGGTAACAATGACCCCCCCTGGAGCCTGGTCCCCCTCATGGCTCGTATGAGGTGAGGACCACCCTGGAGCCTGGTCCCCCTCATGGCTCGTATGAGGTGAGGACCACCCTGGAGCCTGGTCCCCCTCATGGCTCGTATGAGGTGAGGACCACCCTGGAGCCTGGTCCCCCTCATGGCTCGTATGAGGTGACCACCCTGGAGCCTGGTCCCCCTCATGGCTCGTATGAGGTGACCACCCTGGAGCCTGGTCCCCCTCATGGCTCGTATGAGGTGAGGACCCCCTGGAGCCTGGTCCCCCTCATGGCTTGTATGAGGTGAGGACCACCCTGGAGCCTGGTCCCCCTCATGGCTCGTATGAGGTGAGGACCACCCTGGAGCCTGGTCCCCCTCATGGCTCGTATGAGGTGAGGACCACCCTGGAGCCTGGTCCCCCCCATGGCTCGTATGAGGTGACCACCCTGGAGCCTGGTCCCCCTCATGGCTCGTATGAGGTGAGGACCACCCTGGAGCCTGGTCCCCCTCATGGCTCGTATGAGGTGAGGACCACCCTGGAGCCTGGTCCCCCTCATGGCTCGTATGAGGTGAGGACCCACCCTGGAGCCTGGTCCCCCTCATGGCTCGTATGAGGTGAGGACCACCCTGGAGCCTGGTCCCCCTCATGGCTCGTATGAGGTGACCACCCTGGAGCCTGGTCCCCCTCATGGCTCGTATGAGGTGAGGACCCCCCTGGAGCCTGGTCCCCCTCATCGCTCGTATGAGGTGAGGACCCCCCTGGAGCCTGGTCCCCCTCATGGCTCGTATGAGGTGAGGACCACCCTGGAGCCTGGTCCCCCTCATAGCTCGTATGAGGTGAGGACCACCCTGGAGCCTGGTCCCCCTCATGGTTCGTATGAGGTGAGGACCACCCTGGAGCCTGGTCCCCCTCATGGCTCGTATGAGGTGAGGACCACCCTGGAGCCTGGTCCCCCTCATGGCCCGTATGAGGTGAGGACCACCCTGGAGCCTGGACCCCCTCATGGCTCGTATGAGGTGAGGACCCCCCTGGAGCCTGGTCCCCCTCATGGCTCGTATGAGGTGAGGACCACCCTGGAGCCTGGTCCCCCTCATGGCTCGTATGAGGTGAGGACCACCCTGGAGCCTGGTCCCCCTCATGGCTCGCATGAGGTGACCACCCTGGAGCCTGGTCCCCCTCATGGCCCGTATGAGGTGAGGACCACCCTGGAGCCTGGTCCCCCTCATGGCTCGTATGAGGTGAGGACCACCCTGGAGCCTGGTCCCCCTCATGGCTTGTATGAGGTGAGGACCACCCTGGAGCCTGGTCCCCCTCATGGCTTGTATGAGGTGAGGACCACCCTGGAGCCTGGTCCCCCTCATGGCTCGTATGAGGTGAGGACCACCCTGGAGCCTGGACCCCCTCATGGCATGTATGAGGTGAGGACCCCCCCCTGGAGCCTGGTCCCCCTCATGGCTCGTATGAGGTGACCACCCTGGAGCCTGGTCCCCCTCATGGCCCGTATGAGGTGAGGACCACCCTAGAGCCTGGTCCCCCTCATGGCTCGCATGAGGTGGGGACCACCCTGGAGCCTGGTCCCCCTCATGGCCCGTATGAGGTGAGGACCACCCTGGAGCCTGGTCCCCCTCATGGCTCGTATGAGGTGAGGACCCCCGTGGAGCCTGGTCCCCCTCATGGCTCGTATGAGGCGAGGACCCACCCTGGAGCCTGGTCCCCCTCATGGCTCGTATGAGGTGAGGACCACCCTGGAGCCTGGTCCCCCTCATGGCTCGTAAGAGGTGAGGACCACCCTGGAGCCTGGTCCCCCTCATGGCTCGTATGAGGTGAGGACCACCTTGGAGCCTGGTCCCCCTCATGGCTCGTGTGAGGTGAGGACCCCCCTGGAGCCTGGTCCCCCTCATGGCTCGTATGAGGTGAGGACCACCCTGGAGCCTGGTCCCCCTCATGGCTCGTATGAGGTGAGGACCACACTGGAGCCTGGTCCCCCTCATGGCTCGTAAGAGGTGAGGACCACCCTGGAGCCTGGTCCCTCTGATGGCTAGAGTCCCACAGTAATATTCATCATGAGAACTATTGTACTCATATTGTATGAGAGTTTTGCTTTAGTGCTGAGAGCAACAAACTCCGGGTTGGTCAAGAAGCTCCAACACTGAGTACATCTTCAAGTGTAACTCTACACAGTGGAGCCTGGCCACAATGGCTGCCGTTGAGGGCCTCACATCTTCAAGTGTAACTCTACACAGTGGAGCCTGACCACAATGGCTGCCGTTGAGGGCCTCACATCTTCAAGTGTAACTCTACACAGTGGAGCCTGACCACAATGGCTGCCGTTGAGGGCCTCACATCTTCAAGTGTAACTCTACACAGTGGAGCCTGACCACAATGGCTGCCGTTGAGGGCCTCACATCTTCAAGTGTAACTCTACACAGTGGAGCCTGGCCACAATGACTGCCGTTGAGGGCCTCACATCTTCAAGTGTAACTCTACACAGTGGAGCCTGGCCACAATGGCTGCCGTTGAGGGCCTCACATCTTCAAGTGTAACTCTACACAGTGGAGCCTGACCACAATGGCTGCCGCTGAGGGACTCACATCTTCAAGTGTAAATACTGAAGCCTCATGACTCCTATTTCTTCAGTAGACGCCAACAAGAACTACGAGAATAATAAAGTGTTAAAACTGTAAACACTTGAGAGATAAAGAGCCAAAAATCTCTGGAAATTATTGGATGTTAAACAGTTGAGAAAATTTGAATATAAACATATTTCTGGACGGTTGGGAGCAGTGTTGCCACCTCAGCGTCCTGCCTTTTGGCGCCCTAATTTGCTCCCAAACTTGGACATGTCCAGAAATATTGCCACAAAAACTGTTCAGTTTTTTCAGGAGACATATTCGTAGGTGTTGTAGGAAGATGGTGTAAAGTTTATTTATAAGTTGTGAAGGAGTATTGCATATTGTTTGAGAGGTGAAGTTGGTAATTGTGTGGAGGCGCGAGTGGCAAGAGTAGGCGGAGCGCGGCGGCGTCAGTTGCTGGACGACGACGGACGAGGACGGACGCCGCCGCTCCTCTTCCTTCACCTGCTGCTCCTACTCACCCACCTCACACCTCACAATGGGCGCCGTGGGCTCCACCTCACAGCTCCGCCGCAGTGTCTCCACTGAGGTAATTAGCGCCACCTTCTTCTTCCTCACTAAATACATCAATTGTCATTAAGACTTGCGGCCGCAACCTCTTAATTCTTGAGCCCAACGTCTTATTGTCTAAGGTAAAGCTGCTCCTTGTCTAAGGTAAAGCTGCTCCTTGTCTAAGGTAAAGCTGCTCCTTGTCTAAGGTAAAGCTGCTCCTTGTCTAAGGTAAAGCTGCACCTTGTCTAGGGTAAAGCTGCTCCTGCTTGACTAAGGTAAAGCTGCTGCTTGTCTAAGGTAAAGCTGCACCTTGTCTAGGGTAAAGCTGCTCCTTGTCTAAGGTAAAGCTGCTCCTTGTCTAAGGTAAAGCTGCTCCTTGTCTAGGGTAAAGCTGCTCCTTGTCTAAGGTAAAGCTGCTCCTTGTCTAAGGTAAAGCTGCTGCTTGTCTAAGGTAAAGCTGCACCTTGTCTAGGGTAAAGCTGCTCCTGCTTGACTAAGGTAAAGCTGCTGCTTGTCTAAGGTAAAGCTGCACCTTGTCTAGGGTAAAGCTGCTCCTTGTCTAGGGTAAAGCTGCTCCTGCTTGACTAAGGTAAAGCTGCTCCTTGTCTAAGGTAAAGCTGCTCCTTGTCTAAGGTAAAGCTGCTGCTTGTCTAAGGTAAAGCTGCTTGTCTAGGGGTAAAGCTGCTCCTTGTCTAAGGTAAAGCTGCTGCTTGTCTACGGTAATGCTGCTCCTTGTCTAGGGTAAAGCTGCTCCTTGTCTAAGGTAAAGCTGCTGCTTGTCTAAGGTAAAGCTGCTCCTTGTCTAGGGTAAAGCTGCTCCTTGTCTAAGGTAAAGCTGCTTCTTGTCTAGGGGTAAAGCTGCTGCTTGTCTAAGGTAAAGCTGCTGCTTGTCTAAGGTAAAGCTGCTCCTTGTCTAGGGTAAAGCTGCTCCTTGTCTAAGGTAAAGCTGCTGCTTGTCTAAGGTAAAGCTGCTCCTTGTCTAGGGTAAAGCTGCTCCTTGTCTAAGGTAAAGCTGCTGCTTGTCTAGGGGTAAAGCTGCTGCTTGTCTAAGGTAAAGCTGCTGCTTGTCTAAGGTAAAGCTGCTCCTTGTCTAGGGTAAAGCTGCTCCTTGTCTAAGGTAAAACTGCTCCTTGTCTAAGGTAAAGCTGCTCCTTGTCTAAGGTAAAGCTGCTACTTGTCTAAGGATGAGCTGCTCCTTCTCTAAGGTAAAGCTGCTGCTCCTCTAAGGTAAAGCTGCTCCTGCTTGTCTAAGGTAAAGCTCCTCCTGCTTGCCTAAGGTAAAGCTGCTCCTTCTCTAAGGTAAAGCTCCTCTAAGGTAAAGCTGGTGCTTGTCTAGGGTAAAGCTGCCGCTTGTCTAAGGTAAAGCTCCTCTTGCTTGCCTAAGGTAAAGCTGCTCCTTGTCTAAGGTAAAGCTGCTCCTTGTCTAAGGTAAAGCTGCTCCTTGTCTAAGGTAAAGCTGCTCCTTCTCTAAGGTAAAGCTGCTGTTTGTCTAAGGTAAAGCTGCTCCTTCTCCAAGGTAAAGCTGCTCCTTCTCTAAGGTAAAGCTGCTCCTGCTTGTCTAAGGTAAAGCTGCTCCTTCTCTAAGGTAAAGCTGCTCCTCTAAGGTAAAGCTGCTCCTTCTCTAGAGTAAAGCTGCTCCTTGTCTAAGGTAAAGCTGCTGCTCGTCTTAGATAAAGCTGCTCCTGCTTGTCTAAGGTAAAGCTCCTCCTGCTTGCCTAAGGTAAAGCTACTCCTCAAAGGTAAAGCTGATCCTTCTCTAAGGTAAAGCTGCTCCTTCTCTAAGGTAAAGCTGGTGCTTGTCTAGGGTAAAGCTGCCGCTTGTCTAAGGTAAAGCTGCTGCGTGTCTAAGGTAAAGCTGCTCCTTGTCTAAGGTAAAGCTGCTCCTTCTCTAAGGTAAAGCTGCTACTTCTCTAAGGTAAAGCTGCTCCTTCTCTAAGGTAAAGCTGCTCCTCTAAGGTAAAGCTGCTCCTTGTCTAAGTTAAAGCTGCTCCTTGTCTAAGGTAAAGCTGCTCCTTGTCTAGGGTAAAGCTGCTCCTTGTCTAAGGTAAAGCTGCTCCTTGTCTAAGGTAAAGCTGCTGCTTGTCTAAGGTAAAGCTGCACCTTGTCTAGGGTAAAGCTGCTCCTGCTTGACTAAGGTAAAGCTGCTGCTTGTCTAAGGTAAAGCTGCACCTTGTCTAGGGTAAAGCTGCTCCTTGTCTAGGGTAAAGCTGCTCCTGCTTGACTAAGGTAAAGCTGCTCCTTGTCTAAGGTAAAGCTGCTCCTTGTCTAATGTAAAGCTGCTGCTTGTCTAAGGTAAAGCTGCTTCTTGTCTAGGGGTAAAGCTGCTCCTTGTCTAAGGTAAAGCTGTTGCTTGTCTAAGGTAATGCTGCTCCTTGTCTAGGGTAAAGCTGCTCCTTGTCTAAGGTAAAGCTGCTGCTTGTCTAAGGTAAAGCTGCTCCTTGTCTAGGGTAAAGCTGCTCCTTGTCTAAGGTAAAGCTGCTTCTTGTCTAGGGGTAAAGCTGCTGCTTGTCTAAGGTAAAGCTGCTGCTTGTCTAAGGTAAAGCTGCTCCTTTTCTAGGGTAAAGCTGCTCCTTGTCTAAGGTAAAGCTGCTGCTTGTCTAAGGTAAAGCTGCTCCTTGTCTAGGGTAAAGCTGCTCCTTGTCTAAGGTAAAGCTGCTTCTTGTCTAGGGGTAAAGCTGCTGCTTGTCTAAGGTAAAGCTGCTGCTTGTCTAAGGTAAAGCTGCTCCTTGTCTAGGGTAAAGCTGCTCCTTGTCTAAGGTAAAACTGCTCCTTGTCTAAGGTAAAGCTGCTCCTTGTCTAAGGTAAAGCTGCTCCTCTAGGGTAAAGCTGCTCCTTCTCTAAGGTAAAGCTGCTACTTGTCTAAGGATGAGCTGCTCCTTCTCTAAGGTAAAACTGCTGCTCCTCTAAGGTAAAGCTGCTCCTGCTTGTCTAAGGTAAAGCTCCTGCTTGCCTAAGGTAAAGCTGCTCCTTCTCTAAGGTAAAGCTCCTCCTCTAAGGTAAAGCTGGTGCTTGTCTAGGGTAAAGCTGCCGCTTGTCTAAGGTAAAGCTCCTCTTGCTTGCCTAAGGTAAAGCTGCTCCTTGTCTAAGGTAATGCTGCTCCTCTAAGGTAAAGCTGCTCCTTCTCTAAGGTAAAGCTGCTGTTTGTCTAAGGTAAAGCTGCTCCTTCTCCAAGGTAAAGCTGCTCCTTCTCTAAGGTAAAGCCGCTCCTCTAAGGTAAAGCTGCTCCTGCTTGTCTAAGGTAAAGCTGCTCCTTCTCTAAGGTAAAGCTGCTCCTTGTCAAAGGTAAAGCTGCTGCTTGTCTAAGGTAAAGCTGCTCCTCTAAGGTAAAGCTGCTCCTTCTCTAGAGTAAAGCTGCTCCTTGTCTAAGGTAAAGCTGCTCCTTGTCTAAGGTAAAGCTGCTCCTGCTTGTCTAAGGTAAAGCTACTTCTCAAAGGTAAAGCTGCTCCTTCTCTAAGGTAAAGCTGCTCCCTCTCTAAGGTAAAGCTGGTGCGTGGCTTAGGTAATGTTGCTGCTTGTCTAAGGTAAAGCTGCTCCTTCTCTAAGGTAAAGCTGCTGCTCGTCTTAGATAAAGCTGCTCCTGCTTGTCTAAGGTAAAGCTCCTCCTGCTTGCCTAAGGTAAAGCTACTCCTTCTCAAAGGTAAAGCTGATCCTTCTCTAAGGTAAAGCTGCTCCTTCTCTAAGGTAAAGCTGGTGCTTGTCTAGGGTAAAGCTGCCGCTTGTCTAAGGTAAAGCTGCTGCTTGTCTAAGGTAAAGCTGCTCCTTGTCTAAGGTAAAGCTGCTCCTTCTCTAAGGTAAAGCTGCTACTTCTCTAAGGTAAAGCTGCTCCTTCTCTATGGTAAAGCTGCTCCTCTAAGGTAAAGCTGCTCCTTGTCTAAGTTAAAGCTGCTCCTTGTCTAAGGTAAAGCTGCTCCATGTCTAAGGTAAAGCTGCTCCTGCTTGGCTAAGGTAAAGCTGCTCCTTCTCTAAGGTAAAGCTGCTCTAAGGTAAAGCTGGTGCTTGTCTAGGATAAAGCTGCCGCTTGTCTAAGGTAAAGCTGCTGCTTGTCTAAGGTAAAGCTGCTCCTTCTCTAAGGTAAAGCTGGTGCTTGTCTAAGGTAAAGCTGCTCCTTCTCTAAAGTAAAGCTGCCCCTTCTCTAAGGTAAAGCTGGTGCTTGTCTAAGGTAAAGCTGGTGCATGGCTTAGGTAAAGTTGCTGCTTGTCTAAGGTAAAGCTGCTCCTTCTCTAAGGTAAAGCTGCTGCTCGTCTAAGGTAATGCTGCTGCTTGTCTAAGGTAAAGCTGCTGCTTGTCTAAGGTAAAGCTGCCGCTTGTCTAAGGTAAAGCTGCCGCTTGTCTAAGGTAAAGCTGCTGCTTGTCTAAGGTAAAGTTGCTCCTTGTCTAAGGTAAAGCTGCTGCTTGTCTAAGGTAAAGCTGCTCCTCTAAGGTAAAGCTGCTCCTTCTCTAAGGTAAAGCTGCTGCTTGTCTAAGGTAAAGGTGCTCCTTCTCTAAGGTAAAGCTGCTACTTCTCTAAGATAAAGCTGCTCCTTCTCTAAGGTAAAGCTGCTCCTCTAAGGTAAAGCTTCTCCTTGTCTAATGTAAAGCTGCTCCATGTCTAAGGTAAAGCTGCTCCTGCTTGTCTAAGGTAAAGCTGCTCCTTCTCTAAGGTAAAGCTGCTCCTCTAAGGTAAAGCTGGTGCTTGTCTTGGGTAAAGCTGGTGCTTGTCTTGGGTAAAGCTGCCGCTTGTCTAAAGTAAAGCTGCTCCTGCTTGTGTAAGGTAAAGCTGCTCCTTGTCTAAGGTAAAGCTGCTCCTTGTCTAAGGTAAAGCTGCTCCTTGTCTAAGGTAAAGCTGCTCCTTCTCTAAGGTAAAGCTGCTCCTTCTCTAAGGTAAAGCTGCTCCTTCTCTAAGGTAAAGCTGCTCCTTCTCTAAGGTAAAGCTCTTCCTCTAAGGTAAAGCTGCTCCTTCTCTAAGGTAAAGCTCCTCCTTCTCTAAGGTAAAGCTCCTCCTTCTCTAAGGTAAAGCTCCTCTTTCTCTAAGGTACAGCTGCTCTTTCTCTTAGGTAA